AATGACTGCATTAGGTCTCGTGATTTCAAATATTTAAGGTAAAGAATAAAAGTTTTATTGGTTAATCTTCCTGACAAGCAATCTTAGCCGCCGTAATTCTTTCGTCATAATGGACGAGGTTAGATTTGTGGAACCCGCATATTCATCACTCGATCGAAACAAGTAAATTTTCTCTCGTCAAGAGGAGAGAATTTCTTACGGTATCACATTACATTACATGTGTTAATTAATATCCATGCGGTGATAAAGTTATATCTGAGTCAGCAAATGGGTCGATCCAATTTAAGTCTATCATATTTCGTCTACGCAGCAAACTGACTGGTGGACCGTAACAGAAAGTCTAAGAACGGCTTGCAGTTCACAGCCACAGCAGCTGACTGCTTGATTTTCAGGCAGCTGCCAAAATAATCTATCGAAGACCTAACCGTATGATTTCGGTCGATCGATGCTGAAAGAGGCCGAAGCGATTGTGGCAGAAAGTTGTTTGCGAAAAGGCAACACTTCGCTTGTTGCAAAACGTGCGCAATCACAGTGGTGAAGTTTGTTGCCCTCTGCGAAGTTTCGCAGTGAAAGTCTCTCTATTATCAACCAGCACTAGGCGGAGAACAAGACCGACCATTCAATTACCATCTCCATTAAACAAATAGACTCAATTTTGGAGGTCACTGATCGTACTTTAAAATAGAGTGACAACTTATTCCAGTGAGGACTTGCTGTCGCTCTTTATTTACCGTCCTCCTTCATCCTCGATAAAAGCTGGCTCAAAGCTAACAAAGGGCCATTCGAAAAACTGTTGCATTCTTTGTCATTGTTTAAATTACAAAGTAAGATTTGAACAGTTCTCTGTGCAGTTCAATGCGTTAATGTGTACCAACGACGTTCATGAGAGTGCTGTTCCAATTTACACGGCGAATTCGCGTCGTTCGCTTGCTTTCATCGGCCTTTGGCTCCCTTAAGCTATGCCTGCATTGTATTATAGGCATCTGGAGTGAAATGAGGTAAATCGCATTACTGTGCTGG